AAATGGGGGCTGAGGCCATGCCAGCTGCCTGTAGAGGGACCTGAGGCCGTGCGTGTGGGCTCCGAGCTGTGAGGGCCTGGGCAGAGGCTGAGCCCTAGGGCCTTGCAAGTTGCTGGACCAGGGCTGGAGGAGGGAACTCCCAGATGACACTTGCTGTGGGTACTGCCCCAAGCATGGAGTTCAGGTCACAGGGCAGAGCCCTTAGGACTCAACTTGATGACAAAATAGTGCCAGGTTTAACTGGGCACGTGTTCCATTCAAAGCAGGGGCCAGCCTGTGGACATGGGCCCACATACTCTAGGAACTGCAGCTGGTCAGAATCAGGTTTCCAGTCCAGCTTCCTGTGGGAGCCCTGGCTGTCTGTCACCCTGGGTGACAAAAGTCCTGTACCCCAACCCCTAGACAGCCCCATGAATTCAGTGCACCCCACATCCTGGAATCATCCATCCTGAACCCACCTGTCTTTCCACCAAGGAGGTGGCTTCACCTGAACTGGGAGCAAAGTGGTTGCCACCTTCCAGGCATCACAGCATCGTCCAGAGGCAGAGATGGGGGAGTCTCCTGGCTTCCACCAAGAGTACTTGGCCAGATTCAGGCACATGACCCCTAAACAGCTGTTGGTAGGGAACTGAGCCCCCATGGCACAGCTCAAGGTTATGCCTTGCCCTGAGTTTCCTGTGTGCAAAGGAGATGGAGGTCTCTTAGCAAGCAGGGTAGGGGGTACAGGGTGAGGGCTGGCAGGGTGCAGTCCGCCTCAGTCTGAGCCTCAGAGGGAAGGCCCTACCCCACCCTGCATGGGCACACACCCTATGTGTGTAGCACTTTCGCAGGGATGTCTGCTCTCTCCATAATTCTTCAGCTTCCCTGTTCCAAATGAAATTTTTGAGGGATGCAGGAAGAAATCAGTGAAATGAGAGAAAGGCTGGTTCCAGTTAATTCTGCAGTCAGTTGGGGGACAGCGTGGATGGGGCAGTGAGAATCTCAAGTGTGGCTGCAGTTCCGGGGTTGTGGTACTCAACGGGGAGGTCACGGGGCCAGACCTCTGTCATAGCAAGCAGCTGCATGAGCCAGTGACTCTGTCCTCTCTGAGAGTAGACAGCCCTGGCCCCTACTGCCTGGCCCTGAGCTCCGTCTGTCAGGAAGCCGAATGCCCCAGGATCTACCCAGGAGAAGCTCTGCTTCCATGGGGCTGCCCCACCTCGCACTGCCCCCCAGAGGCCAGGCACCTGGGCACCTGCATCTGGACAGGCCTCCCAGTCACTGGTTGGTCCCGGGTCTTGGGGCACTCTCATCCTAAGAACATTGCCTCCACCACCTTCTCCACAAGCTGGGCCTTGGAGAGAGGGGTGCACTGTGGCTCTCTCCACACGGGCACCACCTCCCCCAAAAGACATCCCACACCCGCTCCTTTCTAGCCTCTGTCCTTGACCTTGGGCAGCCAGGTGCAGGTGCAGGGGACCTGGAACCAACCTTGATGGTAGGCTTCCCCTCCTCCACAGGAGTAGGAGGCTGGGTATGGAGAGGGGGGACCCCCAGGGTATGCCCAGCAGTGGGGCTGGGGTCTGTCTGCTGGCACCCCTGCCCACAGCCCCACCTCCACTCGGCCCCCCACTCAGGGAGGCTGGTTCCCCTCCCAGGTCCAACCCTCAGGTTTGAGTCCCAGGGAGAAGAGGGACTCAGGACAGAGCCTCTGAGATGGAGGATCAGACCCAGGGTGATAGGCAGTGTGCTGAGGCTGGGAGCTGCTGGGAGGGGACCTGGGGGTGCCTGCAGTGGGTGTGGGGCGCTGCTCCCCAGGTCTCCCCACTGTGTCAGCACCTTCACTCACTGGTAACAGGGATAACCCGACCCACAGCACTCGGGCCCCGGGCTGGGATCCTCCCCCGCTGGAGTTTGCGGCCCTGCTTCAACAGCCTGAGAGCCCCTGAACTGGGGGACCTGGGAAGTGAGGGGGCGGGCCAGGCCATGTCGGCTCAGGGATTTCTGGAAAGCGGACCCCCGCCCCGCCCCGCCCCTGCGAATCGGTTTCTTTCTGCCTTGCCGCAGGCCTGGGGGTGGGGTGGGGGTGGCGGTCCTGCTCGCACGCGAGGCCCTGGCCGGGGTCCAGGCGGCTGTCACTGCGCGCTGAGGCCCCATCGCGTGACAGGACTCGAGGAGGCCGCTGGGTGTGGCCCGGAATGTGGCTGCGGAGGAGGGAAGTGGGGGTGCCCGCGACGCAGGGGGGGGACCCCGCGATGCTGAGGGGGCGGTGTCCGGGTGCAGAGATCTGTGGAGCGGGGAAGTGAGGGGGGGGTGTCTGCAGCACGACGGTGGGGGGGTGGGGGGGCCTGAGGGAGAGGGACTCGCGATGTGAGGGGTGGTATCTGGGCGCAGAGATGTGGGGTGGGATGCGGTGCTGGGGGAAGGTGTCCAGGTGCAGAGAGGTACGGGGACGGGTAGAAGTTAAGAGGTGGGGAAGACCCCCCCCACTTTTGACGCCACACGTGGGCTGCAGCCCCCGCGCACTTCAGCTCCCTTGCACCTGGGAGTGAACTGTGAGCACCGCAGTAGGGGTCCGGGTCGAGGTCCCGCAGGGGGCGGCAAGGGGGCGGCCTCCGTCCGCATCCGCAGTGACTTCATCGCCTGGATTCCCACCCTCCTCACAACTGTAGGAGTCAGCATCCCCCACCCGCTGGGCCTGCAGGGGCGAGAGAGCAGAAAGGCAGGGTCAGGCCAGCCCCAAACCTCCCCTTCCCCTCAATTGAAGGGAAGTGTTGGGGAGGGCTGGGGCAGGGAGCTGACCTGAGCTGGGTGGGGGTGGGGGTGGGGAGTTTGCTGAACAGGAGTTCTTGGTGGTTGGGTCTGTGGCAGGCGACCCGGGTGTACTGATGTGGGGGTCCTGCCCTGCCCACCCCCCCACCACGGCACCACTCCTGGCCTTTACTGAGCTCTTAATCCTCCCAGAGGCTGTGGGCTGCACCCTCACCCCACCAGGTCCAGCCCCAAGCCCTAACGTGGGGGGACCATCTGGGCCCCCGGAAGCCTGGCCTGGCACAGGGGCTGTCTGGAGGAGTGGGGGGGGGTGGCAGGGGTGACCTCCTGTCTCATCCCCACACCAGCTTCTCCTCGATCATTCTCAGCATCTGAGAACACACTGACTAAACCCTCTGTCCGAAGCTCACTGCAACCTTGTGTGATGTCCTGAGACCAGGGGGCCCCTTCAGGGGAAGGGGCTGATCCTGGATCTGTCTTCCTCCAGGAAGCAGAGCTACAGCAGCTCAGTGTATTCAGAGCTCTCAGACTTGGGAACTCTGGTGTGTAGTAAGCAGGGTGCAGTACAATGGGGGTATTAAAAATAATCGCCTTTAACGTCACAGAGCTCCGCGTGTCTGCCTGGAAAAACCAGCACTTGTGTGGGGGCTTGATTACTGTGAGGTTTCCACTTTGCAAGGGTGACTGGCAACACACACAGCCTCCACCTATTTGTCAGAGACCCCTAGGGACCATCCTCCCCCAGGCACCACTGCTGTTGTCCCCAGGAATACACCTGTCTTTGGGATGAAATGGGTTCTTTTCTTGTTCTATTCAGCACAGTGACTGGCGGTTTAGTGTGCACTGGCTGTGGGAGAGGAGGGTGATGGCACAAAGGCTTCTGAGAGAGGAAGGACAGAGAGGCCAGCAGGGACCAAAGGCCACAACATGGCCAAGAGGTGGCCACTGTTGGTGGGGCTCTCCCATGGGCCACCTCCCTGTGTTGCATTCTCTGCCCGGAGGACACCCTACTGGCCAGCACCAGGGTGCTTAAATGAAGGGGCCAGTGTGGCCTGCATGGCGTGGGGGCTGCTGGTCCAGGGGTGTGGCCTGGGCATGTCCACTCTGTAGGGAGGATGGTCAGGCACAGTATCTCAAGCTGGAGCGCACATTCGGGCCCTGCTTTGCTGTGGATCTGGGGGCCTGGAACCCCTGGGAGCAGGTGCTGCCCACCTCTCACTGACGGGGTTGAGGGGCATTTGTGGGGAGCTGCAGGCAGAGCCTGTGGTTTTCCTCACAGTCAGCAGATGACAAGCATTGCAGACCAGCGCATCCTGGAGCAAAAGTTCAGCACAACCCACTGGCTTTGAAAGAGAAAATGCTGCAGATTTAAGTGCCTGTGTTTACAGTTTATTCCCAGACCAGAGCAAGTGCTCAGCTCCACCTCCTGGACGAGCCCCTGGCCCTCAGAGCACTGACATCACCTGTAGCCCCGGTTTGCAGATCTCAGAAATGAGAAGCCGGGAGGCGCTTCCCCACTCATCCTCCACAGAGACAAGGCCTGGGCTCCTGCCGGGATCGCTCTAGGGGCCAGCTGCCTTTGCCCGGGGGTCCTCCCATAACACCCGGGTGCCAGTGAGGATTCCCATCTGAGCATGGAGTTGAGGGTCCCTAACTGGCTCCAGGGAGCTGGAAAATGAACAGCGTCTGTCTGTCTGTCTGTCTGAACTCCTTCCCCCAAAGTGGGGATGAAGCCAGCCTTGGGGGAGGGGGATGTGAGCATGTGGGCATGGGGTAGGCATAGGGGGCTGCCAGAGTCACAGGGAAGGGTGGCAAGGCAAGACGGGGCACTTCTGGAGCTAGAACCATCAGTGCAGTAATGGACAACTGTGGGGGGGTGGCCTGCTCCACACCAGGGGGCCCCTGAAACTAGTGGGACTCTAAGGAATTTATAGGAGGGGGCAGAGAGCAGTTTCTGGGGAGCAGAGTGGGTGGGGTCTTCAGAGTCAGGCCCAGGTGTGATGTCCCGATCTCCCAAATGGCTGCCCCAGTTGGATGTCCTGGCTCCACTTCCCCTCCCCCTTCCTGGGGAGGTGGAGCTGCCCCAGTGTGTCCTGGTGAGCACAGGTCAGCATGGGACCTCAATATTTTCAGAAGAGGGTGGCAGTGAAGAACTATGGGCTGAAGAACAGTGTAATGTAGCTTCACAAAGGTTTGCAACTGGGCCTGGGCCCTGGAAGGTGCTAACGTCCTCTGTTCCTCTCTGACAGCCGTGCAGGAGAAGCGCCCACTGCGACCGGCAGCCAGTGGCCCCTCACCAGGAGCCAGAGATCTGCATGGAGGCTCAGCCATCCTGGAGGGAAGGTTGCTGCTGGAGGTGAGCCCCCTTGACCTTTGATTACATGCAGGGTCACTGTGTGCAGGCCACTCCCCCCTGGACCCTGAGGTTGTCACCCTTTACAGTGAACTACAGTGAAGGCTCTGAGAAATGTTTGTAGTGACCTCTTGGGAGAAGCGTGAAATTGGGGTCTCAGGTGCTTCAGGTGAGGTGCTGGACAGAGGAAACGGCCACGGCCACACTTCAGATCTGGAAACCGTACTCAGTCTGCATTCTCTGGTTTTATCTGTCTGCCTGGGTTTATCTCTGGTGGCAGGACCTAATAAAATATTAAGCAGGATATTTTTTTCTTTCAAATTAAGGACAGAAAATTGTGCATTACGCTACTTGGTGTCTGGCAGGCATGGCTGGCTGGTCCGTTTATTGGCATTGCACGCCAGATGTTAAGGGTCAGGTCGGCATTTTCACCTGAGGTGGACACCCCTGGCCCCATTCCATGGTTCTGGGGTGTTTCCCTGACCCTGTCCTGTTGGCCTTTGCATACAGGATGGGGGAGCTGTAGTCAGCTTCTTAAGGAGATGTAATGGTGAGGAGTTTTCTGAGTTCTATCAAGTCACTCTTGCAGAATGAGGCTGCCGCTGCCTCACCAGGGCCCAAAGTCACTGCGCACCGCAGGCCCTGGTTGGTCCTTTCTCTGGAGGGACTGGGAAGATGCAGCCATCTCTTCATGGGAGGGTGTGGGGGGGGCACAGGGAGAGAGGCCCACGGTGCATAGTGCCATGACCAGCAGCCAGGTTGCCCCTGAAGCCCCAGGGTGCTTCCCTTGGAGAGGCCGGGCCCACGTATCCCCCAGAGGGTCCACCTCAGTCCCCTATGTCCAGAGCAGAACCAGATCGTACCACCTTGCCAGCCCTATTTGGTGGGTGGTTCTATGCCTCCAGGTGAAGCCTCCTTGACTCTCCTTTCCACATTTGGTCGATCTATTAGACTGATGGGTTCAAGGGCAGAAATGGTGGACTATGGGTGCCACTTCAGCTGGGTCAAGTCCCCATTCTCTGAACAGTAGCAGCAGCTTTGCTCCAGATGGTTCTTCTTCACCCCAGCCTGCTCTGCAGCAGCTGGAATGACAGACGCACCCTGAGAAACCCCAGTCCTTCACCCCACACCTGACGCCCACCTGTGCCCAGAGCCGCGCCGGGCTGTCTGAGGTGGAGACCCCAGGGGAGGCCCCGCCCTCAGGCCTGCGCAGCCCCCCGCCCCTCCCCCTCAGACTCCAGCTCTTCAGCCGGACTTCGCCGGTGCTCTTCTGGGCCCTCTCGATGGCAGCACTGATCAGTCTCCCAAGTTCTTACCTGTTCAGCTGTTTAAACAGTGTGGGCCGCGGTGGGGGGTGGCGTGTCCTCTGATCGCTGCAGGCATTGAGATCAGTCGCCCCTTGTCCTTGCAGCCCCTTTGGGTGATTAAGGGGAACTCACCTGATTCCTTTTCTATCCGACTCAGCCAAGCCCTTCAGAGATCCCCTCCCCTCGTTCACTTTCCACTTTTTATCAGAAATTTAAATGCTCACAAAGAAGGGAGGGTAGAGCGGTGGTGGTCAGCTTTTGGCTAGCTTGCTTCTCCTCGTCCCCCCAGTCCTCTTCACCTGTCCCCAGATCACCGCTCACTCTGCCTTATCTCCTCAGACTGTCCCCTGGCCCGAGATTTCTTGGTCTCTGGACGCCCCCCTTCACGCTGCACCGTCTCATTATGTGGGCACTGTGTCCAGCCCTCCACCTTCCCCTCTGCCTGGCTGCGAGCTCTGCTATTTCTGAGTACCTGGGTGGGTGGCTAAGTACAGTGGGGCACAGTGAGGATGATGATGGATGGACAGACAGACAGTCAATATCTAGAGGGATCTGAGGGAAGTGGGAGAGAGGAAGACGTTTGCAGCATAGGATCTGGGGGTGCTGGTGCCAGATGGAGCTTGGCGGCTCTGTGTTCTCACCCCCCAGCTATGTATCCCCTGTGACCCGGCCTCGCTTCATGAGCCCCTAACCTCCCTGACCGACACAGGGACCCCATGATCCCTGTGGCCCACCAAAGTCTGTGCTCTGATGAAGGATCCTCTTAGGAGGATCAATGAGCTTATGAATCATTTCCTTTTTAAAAAATAAAATATGTGAGGAAGTGTTTAGATCACTGCTGTCTGGTCTGCTGGGTTCGTGGGCGTTTGGGGGACGCCTGCCTTGGAGTGAGTGCAGGTTTCATTTCAGTTTTGTCTGGAGCAGAGCATGGGGCCAGCAGCAGAGAGGAGGTGGGCACGCCATGCGCTCAGTGCAGGGAATGCTTCCACACTTTACTATTTATCAGGTTTTTAGGAAGCAAATTCTTAAATATTATTTTTCCTTACCTTTTTTTTGGGTCAGAGCTAGTAAAATCAGAGCTGGAAATGGGGCAGCTTGACTTTTAGCCTTGGCAAACCTAATTGGCATTGCTTTTTTATTATTCATGTTCAAAGTTAAGATCATAAAATCTTAATCATGAAATCTTTTAAAGACTTTTGTTCTGAGGTGTAAATTCAGGAGCTTATGCACAGAGCACCCGGTCTCCCGGCTGGGGCTCAGGAGACACTGTCACACACGTTCACGTGTGTCCTCACCACTAACCCTCTTCCTGCTCCTCTGCTGGGTTCGCCGAGAGCAACAGCCCAGAGGCCGTCCTGCAGCACCCCCACCCCGTGGTTCTAGGGGGCTGAGTCTTCCCTGGGCCTTCCTGGTTCAAGCAGAAGCCCAGGCACTGATGGCCAGGCCTGATTCTTGGGTCCCCACGGGTTCCTTCAGGACAGCACCCAGCCCCACTTTCTGCCACTGACTTGCCGAGCCTGCTGCCCAGTGTGTGTGGGTGTTTTGGGAGATACCTTTCAGGGTGGGACTTTTCCAAGGATCAGGTCCCAAGAGCTGAGGGGTCAGGGTCCCCTGCCCATCTGCTCAGGGCACTGTGGGCTGTCCTGGTGCCCACCCCACCCGGCAGCCCCCAGGCAGGTCAGAGTAATGCCCTCCCCCCTACATTTTAGAGAACAAGGTCCAGCAGTTCTTGAAGCCTCATTCTGCTGCCTCTTGTTTATTGTTCTCTGTGGCCCACAGGAAGTTTCTGGAAGTTTCCTTTGGTTGCAGTCAGGGAGGCTCTTTGGTGAGGGTCCTCCTTCACCCGATGATTCTCAAACTTAGAGGTTAGGCTCTTTTTTCTTTTTTAATGAATTTACTGGAGTGACATTGGTTAATAAAATTATATAGGTTTCAGGTGTACAGTTCTGTAATATATCATTGGTATATTGTATTGTATGAAGTTTAAAAGTATTCCCAAGCAGCGTAAAAGAAGCAGATTAAATAGTAATAACAAGAAAACTCAGCTTTTATTTCCAGCCTTCAAATCTTTTGAAAAAAAAAGGAGAGGTTTGTGGCAGGGCATTATTAATTCACAAAAATTTGGAGTTGGCACAGACTTTAGAGTCCCTGTGGTCTCATGTCTGTTATTTTAAGATGAAGAAACCAAGATTTGCAGCCATTAGGGGCTGGTCCAGGGCCCCCATTGGGTTTAGCGCTGGGGTTGGACCCGTGTTTCTTTGCCTGAGTTTAGGGGCTCCTGTGCCCAGTGGCTCCCAGCCTTCGGCTCCCCTGGGAAGCCGGGGCAGGCGGGCAGAGCTGCCACCTAGTAAGCACCACGACACAGGCACCGGGTACGGGGCAGAGCGAGGGCCCAGGCGTGGGAGGTAGGTGGGAGGAGGAACCAGGAGGGCATGTGGTGGAACACAGGGTCCTGGACATACACGCACAGCAGGTACACAGCTAGAGCATCGCTGGGAGGTGTGAGCCTGGTTCAGAGTGCCTGGATTTTTATTTCTACTCCTAAGGTAGACTGCCAGGCCACTGTGTTTATTGCAGACATGGCTACGTGTTCACAAGAATGTGAACTTGGGCCCGTGTGTGTTTGGGGGTGGCCAGGATGATATTATGACTGCTTGACCCTGGCTAGAGTTCAAGTGCATTGTGGCCACATGGTACATTTTCTAACATTTTTATGTTTTTATTTTTTATTGAATTTGTTGGAGTTACATTGGTTAATAAAAATTATATCAGTTCCAAATGTATAATTTTATGATACATTTTATTGTGTGTTCACCATCCAAAGTCTAGTTTCCTTCCATCACCATTTAACCCCTGTTTACCCTCTTCTTCCACCCCCGGCCCCTTTCCCTCTGGTAATCGCCGTATTGTTGTCTGTGTCTGTGAGTTTTCTTTCTTTTGCTTAATACCTCCACCTATTTCACTGGGCCCCCAGCCTTCCTCCTCTCTGACAGCTGTCAGTCTGTTCTCTGTGTCTGTGGGTTTGTTTCTATTTTGTTTGTTGGTTCATTTTGTTTATTAGATCCCACATATGACTGAAATCATATGATATTTATCTTTCTCACACTGGCTGATTTCACTTACTGTGATACCCTCTAGGTCCATCCATGCTGTCGTGAAAGGTAAGATTTCCTTCTTTTTTATGGCCAAGGTGTATTCTATTGTGTAAATGTACTGGAGCTTTTTTATCCACTCATCTACTGATGGACACTTGGGCTGCTTCCAAACCTTGCCTATTGTAAATAGCATTGCAGTGAACATAGGGGTGCTTATATGCTTTCAAATCAGTGTTTCTGGTTGCTTCGGATATATTTCCATGTCACAAGCCAGTTCCATTTCTAATGTTTTGGTTTTTGTAGGTTAAGGCCATACTGCTTTCCACAGTGGCTGCACCAATGTACATTCCCACCAGCAGTGCACGAGGGCTCCCTTTTCTCCGCATCCTCGTCAGCACTTGTCGTTTGTTGATTTATTGATGATGGCCATTCTGACAGGTGTGAGGTGGTATCTCATTGTGGCTTTAATTTGCTTTTCTCTGATGATTAGTGACATTGAGCATCTTTTCATATGTGTGGAATCTTCAGGGTTTTCTATATACAGTATCATGTCACCTGTAAATAATGACAGTTTTACTTCTTCCTTTCCAATTTAGATGAC